TTACAAAATAATAATGTGGTTTTCCTTTATAATATGCGCCAGAGTTTAATCATCAATGATCGCAGACATAAGCACACGTTAACCCCCCCCCCCCCTTACTTGGCACAGACGCATATGCTGCATATAGGCTCTTGCAGCGCCTACCTGTAAAAAAACTAAGTTATTTTATTCTTGCAATCAGAATGTGGACAATTTGACATGACCTCAAAAAATATCCAAGTTACTAGTGACAGAAGATGGTGATGTGGTGAACCTGTTTGTAAAATATCTTGTTAATACTTTCTAAGAAATAAATATTTTGAGAGTAAACAGGGAATTAAACCAATTCATGCTAAGGCCAAAGGCTGCTCATTCAGTACTTAAAACAATGAACGCATCAATGAATCAATAGGGGTCGTTATGGCAGACAAATAGCTTGTTCGGGGGCTGATAAGGACCGGTTGGGGCTATCACTGAGTCAACTCAGGGCTGGGAAATTATTTACAGACTAGCTTTTGCCCGCGGCTTCACCCGCGTGAAATTTAGTTTGTCACAGATCATCGTAAATTATAGCCTATATGTTAATCTGGGTTATAAACAATAATACTGTAAAGTTTCATCAAAATCCGTTCAGTAGTTTTTGCGTGAAAGAGTAACAAACATCCAGACATCCAGACATCCATATAAACTTTCGCATTTATAATATTATAGTAGGATAGTAGGATTAGTAGGATTAGTAGGACTAGTAGAAAATTGCATATTTACTAGCTTCGTTCGAGCATGATCTTTGGCTCTATTTTCTGAAATTAGCTGCTTTCAGAAAGAGTAAAATATAAATGTATTCTTATGTCAAGAATAATAATTTGTAAAAGAACACCATTATTTTGTCAGCTGATACCCAAGTGAAAAGAAGCTTATGTAATGTAATTATTACCATTTGCGTGAACCCTACAATAACATTAATTGAATCTGTCAATAACTGAATGTGATAACAAGCAATTGTTCTATTTACATGTGTGTCAACAAAAACGAGATATTTGTTGATGGACGGACGAGTGGCTGAGATAGGAAGAGTCGCAATGTTGATTAATGTCCTGTTTCATTTGATACATTTGACATGACCTCAAAAAATATCCAAGTTACTAGTGACAGAAGATGGTGATGTGGTGAACCTGTTTGTAAAATATCTTGTTAATACTTTCTAAGAAATAAATATTTTGAGAGTAAACAGGGAATTAAACCAATTCATGCTAAGGCCAAAGGCTGCTCATTCAGTACTTAAAACAATGAACGCATCAATGAATCAATAGGGGTCGTTATGGCAGACAAATAGCTTGTTCGGGGGCTGATAAGGACCGGTTGGGGCTATCACTGAGTCAACTCAGGGCTGGGAAATTATTTACAGACTAGCTTTTGCCCGCGGCTTCACCCGCGTGAAATTTAGTTTGTCACAGATCATCGTAAATTATAGCCTATATGTTAATCTGGGTTATAAACAATAATACTGTAAAGTTTCATCAAAATCCGTTCAGTAGTTTTTGCGTGAAAGAGTAACAAACATCCAGACATCCAGACATCCATATAAACTTTCGCATTTATAATATTATAGTAGGATAGTAGGATTAGTAGGATTAGTAGGACTAGTAGAAAATTGCATATTTACTAGCTTCGTTCGAGCATGATCTTTGGCTCTATTTTCTGAAATTAGCTGCTTTCAGAAAGAGTAAAATATAAATGTATTCTTATGTCAAGAATAATAATTTGTAAAAGAACACCATTATTTTGTCAGCTGATACCCAAGTGAAAAGAAGCTTATGTAATGTAATTATTACCATTTGCGTGAACCCTACAATAACATTAATTGAATCTGTCAATAACTGAATGTGATAACAAGCAATTGTTCTATTTACATGTGTGTCAACAAAAACGAGATATTTGTTGATGGACGGACGAGTGGCTGAGATAGGAAGAGTCGCAATGTTGATTAATGTCCTGTTTCTGAGATGGTAGTGAATGAAATTACTCGTTCCGTCCGTGAATCATGTTGGTTAATAAATCCCAAGTTAAAATGTAACTGATGAAATGGAAATGCAATTTCTTGAATATTTAGCAAAACAGATTTCTAAATTCAGAATAGCAAGGGCCATCACCAATGGTGCCAATGTGATGCATAAAAGGTTAACTATTTAAAGGGAAAATGAAATTAAAATAGCAATTTCAAGTAATTAAAAGAGAAAAAAAAAAGGATCTGATGATCAATTAAGAACAAAAAGGGCCGCAACTACTGTGATCCATAAATGGTCAACATTTGGATGCCTAAGTGAGCCGGTGTTGGCATTGTGACTAACAACTACGTCAAAACTGAAAACAAATGCCCTCGCACCTTTTCTCGGTCCATCCTGAATGACATCAACGCTGCACCAACCGTCCCGCCGGAAACACTGTTGTTTGTAGAACGCATTGTTATTGCGATTTCATATTTAGATCGCAAATGAATATACTCCTATATGGCTGCGCAGGAGTTCACATTCAGTAAATTCCCTCCTCCCCCAATCAGTCTCACGCCAGACACCGCATCGGGCGGACGTTCCATCGCCGTTTCAAACGACAAATTAATTAAACCCAAACACGTCCTCGAACGTGAATTGTGTTCGTAAAACAATTGTGTAATTAAAGTGGTTAGCGTTTACAATTGGTTTAGGGTTCTGCGTTTCATGGAACTGGACAGTGGTTTCTGTGTATTTGTGCAATGAAAATGGTTGTATGGTATGTGACGGAGCAGTTTAAAGAAGAGGTAAATTTCATTTCATATTATCCTTCACTCAAAATTTCAACTGTTGTAGCTTTCATACCAATTTCTTCTTCTACAAAATATAATTTAAGCTTTTGTATTGCAGAACTACTAATTATAAATTCCGAATCCCGTGAATGGGCTTGATTACAAACTTAAACCCTTCAATTTGGGGAAAAACGTAAAAGTCTTCCGTTTGTTTGACTTGAATCTTAATCCTCAAAAGAAGATCCAAAATTGTAACCATCTGATGCTAAAGTTCTTATTTTATGTGCATTCTATTTTCCTTCAAATTCCTTCCAATCAGCGTTATTTCCCTGAAAAAATTTCCACTTCAACTGACAGATGCGTACCATGCATTCCAGATCAAATCAATTCCACGTCAATATATCAGCTGTGGAATCCGAAAACACCTCTTGTACACATACCAAATCGCATTCCTCGCTATAAATTTAATTAAATGGATTATTTTTAGCCCATTTCAAGTTTCCTGTTCAATATCATATTCAAGTGTTTATTTTTATCGAGCTGCGGGGTTTTCCTACGGTTGTGCAAACAGGCTGTCCGTCAGGGCTCAGTTATGAGTGCCTGACTGACATCGCAAATATTCGAGGCGCCTCTTCTATCTTCAGTAAATAAGTGCATGTAAGACTTTTTGGGTCATCCGAATGGAAATGGCGTGATAATTATTTGGCGATATCCATGTGATGAATATGCGTAGATCCATATAGGGATCGAGGAGTCTAATAAATAAATCCAAACAGAGGTTCTTGCTAGAAGAAATATGGACTAAGAACATAATATCTTAGTTGTTTATTCGGTGAAGTTAAATTCGAACAAAAGCCTAGTCCAACTTAGACAACTGGAACCTTAATGAAAGTACAAATTAGTTTATAAAAGGTCACTGACATCACAAAAAAGTTATGGAAATCCCCATATTATTATCCCAAATTCCTTTGGTTTGAAATCAGCTTCGTTTTCCCTGTCCGTTAATTGCGATTGTACAAACGTTCTAAATAAAAGCGTGACTTATTGTTACTAATAACTTGTGCCTACATACATCAGTTTCTAAGCCAAGTGCACTTCATATCTAAACGTTTATCCAGTATTATTGTGTAGGCAAATATAATTGTTTGTCGTAAGGACATCAGCGATTGAGTCACTGTCGCCGAAACGTTAACGACGATACAATGGGGCTCGTGTTGGAGCGATAACATCGTCGCGTTACGTTCTTATTTCATTCCAACTCTACTACTCGACCGAACACGTGTGTTTTAATACATTTTCCTTATTTACGTTGTAAATATTGAAAAACTAGTGCACCGAAAGTGAAGGCAGGACATAAATCAAAAAGCATTGCGCTGTGTTAGGTAAATACCTAGAAAGTTTATTGTGATCGCGATATTACTGGCCTAATAGTGATTTATTAAGCGTCTACTATTTTATTGTTGTGTTCAAATTAATGAACGCCAGTGAAAGTCTAGTATTAACTAATGCTAGAATTTCATACTAAAGAAACATTTTATCAATCGCAAGTATTATAAAAACTTCAGGCATCCATAATGTGTGTTGCGGTTTAGATATTATGTGACTGTTCTCGAGTGCTATCGTTTTCAATGTCCTATTACGGACTAACGAGGAACAATTTACTGACATTCTTGATGTAAGATTGTCGAGGTTTGGTAGCCTAGTGCTACCTCTCTAATTTTTGTAGAAATATCACAATCTAGTTTAGTATTCGACAAAACCATTAGAAGAATAAATAGAATATAACGCTCCTCCTGCAGTAGATAGATCAATATAATTGTCGTGCAGTCGACAGCAGATCAGATAAATTGTTGTTGGAAAATTGTACATAGCTTTTAGACTCTTATGTAGTTGTAATAGCGCGGATTTTGCAGCATTTAACGGGATATGCCGGAGTCCAAATTAGCCCTTCAAGTACCCGCGAATCGAGACAATAGAATTCCTCCAGCGACCACTGAGAGTTTGATGGGCGCCGTAAGAGTAGGCGCACACCAATGATTTTTAGTTGCCCGATAGTTGTGCCCGATTTCAAATTGTATGAAGAATCGGCCAAATCGAATCGGTGTAGTGTGCGCACTCCCATACATGCCCATACTGATCAACAGCCCGACTAAACTATCGGCCGACGAAAAATCAACGGTGTGCGCCTACTCTAATACTCTGTAATGTACCATCAATAACTTTGGTTTTCTTTTGTCCCCAGAGCGAGCAGTCGTCGCCATTCCGGCGCTGGACGACCGGCAGCGGCGCCGGCAGCTCGTACCGCCATCACGACCACAGAAACATGTATAATAAGGTGAGTTCTGAACCAGTGATGAAGTCTTACTATTTTAATTGAAATGGAACGCGAAAGTTTAAAATCTTACAGTAATGAAGTCTTTAAATAAGTCGCACATATTCTGTCAAAAATGGTCCCTGTATTGGAACAATCAAAGACTTTTTTACTAGGTGTTACTGCTGAATTTACGTAAAACGTTCCATGAAACATAACTGGTTCTAAGGGTAAAGCCGTTCCGAATGTTACAACAAATGAAACTCAGTCCAGGTTGGCGGCATTCTTTTTAAAGGGTTAGGGATAATCAAGTTACTCTATTGTTCCAGCAAATGAGCGAAGGCTCAGCGCCAGTGGGAGGCACCGGCGGCGGCGGCGTGGCGCGCTGGTCGCTCGGGCTCGAACAGCTGTTAGCTGACCCCGCCGGCGCGGCCGCTTTCGCGCACTTCCTCGCTAAAGAGTTCGCGGCTGAAAACATCAGGTCAGTACGGAGCTTGGGGTCAACTGTTAGGGTTTGAGAACCAGCTGGTGGGTATTGATCCAGCAAATGAGCGAAGGCTCGGCCCCAGTGGGAGGCACCGGCGGCGGCGGCGTGGCGCGCTGGCCGCTCGGGCTCGAGCAGCTGTTGGCCGACACCGCCGGCGCGGCCGCCTTTGCCCACTTCCTGGCTAAAGGGTTTGCGGCTGAGAACATCAGGTCAGTACGGAGCTTGGGGTCAACTGTTAGGGTTTGAGAACCAGCTGGTGGGTATTGATCCAGCAAATGAGCGAAGACTCAGCCCCAGTGGGAGGCACCGGCGGCGGCGGCGTGGCGCGCTGGTCGCTCGGGCTCGAGCAGCTGTTGGCCGACCCCGCCGGCGCGGCCGCCTTTGCCCACTTCCTGGCTAAAGAGTTCGCGGCTGAAAACATCAGGTCAGTACGGAGCTTGGGGTCAACTGTTAGGGTTTGAGAACCAGCTGGTGGGTATTGATCCAGCAAATGAGCGAAGACTCAGCCCCAGTGGGAGGCACCGGCGGCGGCGGCGTGGCGCGCTGGTCGCTCGGGCTCGAACAGCTGTTAGCTGACCCCGCCGGCGCGGCCGCTTTCGCTCACTTCCTGGCTAAAGAGTTCGCGGCTGAGAACATCAGGTCAGTACGGAGCTTGGGGACAGCTGATAGGGTTTGAGAACCAGCTAATGAGCGAAGGCTCAGCTCTGGCTAAGGAGTTCGCTGCTGAGAACATCAGGTCAGTATAACTTGGGAACGGGTTTGACGCAGACCGTCCCATTCGCATTTCGCCATGAATTCAAAAATGGTCTCATTCGCGTCAGACCCCTTGGGAGTTGGGAACTAGCTGATTGCTGATGCTCACCCATCGTAGTTGAGAAAATAAGGTACCTATTGGGCTATGCAACTTGCGTATAGGTCTTTACCACAAACTTAAATTAAAATCAACCATTTATAACCATGTGCCGTGGAAATTCTAACTAGTGGAAACAGTGGTTCTTTTTCTGCTCACCCTTAAGCTGTTGATGGTCAATTATTGCCACCATATTTTGAGTTTTATTGATCCAAACTTGTCTTAAACAAATTCCCTCCTTCTCCCCAGGTTCTGGTGGTCATGCGAGCAGTACAGCTCAACAGAAGACCCTGAGAAACGGGCAGAGATAGCTCAAGAGATCTGGCACCGGCATCTAGCGGACAAGGCGTCGGAGCCAGTCAATGTGGACGCCGCAGCGCGCCGCGCCGCACAGCTCCGTCTGGACCAGCAGCCGGCGCCGCTTGACCTGTTCCAGCAGGTAAGACCTTATTGTATAAGCCTGTAGATCAAATTTTGAATAGGCCTTGGAATCCTGCTTGTATCCGCATCGTTAGACCTGTTCCAGCAGGTAAGACCTTATTGCTTCAGCCTTTAGGTCTGATTTTGAAAGATAAGCGTGCAGAGATAGCTCTTGAGCTATCTCTTGAGATCTGGCACCGGCACCTAGCATACAAGGCATTAGCTCATCTCCGTCTTAACCTGCAGCCGGCGTCGCTTAACCTGTTTCAGCAGGTAAGACCTTATTGCTTCAGTCTGTAGGTCTAATTTGGAATGGGCCCAGGAATCTTGCTTGTATCAGCAGCCCGCGCCGTTAGATCTGTTCCAGCAGGTAAGACCTTATTGCTTCAGCTTTTAGATCTAATTTTGAATAAATCCAACTAGGCTAGGATGCGCGGCGTGATAAAATTTTATCGATCATTTTAGAAGACAAACGTATGGGCCTGTCGCGTAAAATTTAATAACTTTCTTAAAATGTACTACATCAGTCTATTTACTGTTGAATATACATAGTCCCAAGAATATCCATTGCAAACACTGACCTGTTTTACTTGTGACTGTCAGACCTAGCCTGTCATAGCGAACATCAGACGCTATTATGTGTAAAAGAAAACGATGCAAGACATCACTTACTCATGTCGTGTTACATAGTGCGTTCTGGTCAAAAAGGGACGGATTGATATTAAAAATATTGTGTCACTTACGAAGTTCTTACGCGGCTATAATACTACCATGTATCTTCTTGCTTAGCTAGATTAAAACCTATCCCATCAATAAAGTTCCTTTTCGCAAGTTTCACACCAAGTTTCATCCTTACAGGCCCAGAAGCAGATCTTCAACGTGATGAAGTTCGACAGCTACCCGCGCTTCCTGCGCTCGGGCGTGCACGCCGAATGCGCGCGCGCGGACCTCTGCGGACGGCCCTCGCCATACGCGCCCGCCGACCCCGAACCCGCTAAGGTAACATATTTCATTCAAATACAGGGTGACTTTGTTATCAGTATCCAAATTTTTTAATAAGCTCGTTAGAACAATTTGACTATACAACTTTATCGTAATTATTTTTAATTGTGGTATTTTTTGCAAAAAAAAATTTTGAAAGTCTAATTCGCGGGTGCCCATATCTTAAGTTTTAAAGGTTATTGCTTATTTTCGCTCACCATTATATCTATTAAGCTTTGCAGTTAACTGTGTGTACATTTTTTTCCATGAACGAAGCAAATTTTCCACGTGAGTCAATATACATAGAAACCACGCGCAGAGGATGAAAATAATTAAATATGGAGAAAAAGTTGTATTTTCTTTACGTAAATCAATTAAGTTACTGATTCTGAGTCGATCCTGAAAATTTGGATACTGATACAAAAATCACCCTGTATAGTATTTAGCAATTCATAATAAAGTTCAAGAGCTTACCCAGCAGTTGGTGCGGTATATACCTCGTAGAAGTGGTGGTCGTTAGGGCAGAAAAAGATGGCTCGAAAATCGTACTGTAGGTTATTTTGACGTCTTTTGGTTCGTTCATTCGTTTATTTAAGCTAAATGTCGTCCACTGCTGGATAAAGGTCTTCTCCGAAGATTTCCATAACCGGTCTTGCGCTGCCCGCATCCAGGTTTCTTTCTGCGACCTAATTCATAGAACTGATGGCTGTTAGGGCACAAAAAGTTACCGAGTGGCGACCACGGATCGAAAAACGTAGTGTGGGCAGGCAGGCCTCCCAATCAGTAGACTGACGATCTATTCAACGTCGCAAGAAGCACTCAAATGCGCGCAGCGAAGGACCTGTCGTTGTGGAAAAACTTGCATATCAGCAATATCTCCAACTGGGGACATCCAGTCCATTATATTCATAGGTGTATGCGTATATAGTGGGGGTATAGGCCGTGCCATCGCAGAATGGTCTACTGCCCATGTCGGGAAAAATTACCCTTGATACGCCAATGATATATAAATATTACAGTTTTCACTAACGTATCATATTATTTTTCCAGCAAAGCCCCCTAAAGAAGTCAGCCAGCAATGCCTCAGAAAGACGGCGTAGTGGCGGCGCGTCCCTTCTCCCTTGGAAGCTGCGTGCTCCCTCGAGGGACCGCCAGCCGCCCGCCAGCCCGCCGCCGCCGCTTGCTGACGTGAGTACAGAACCATTCCCACCTCTAGTTCCCACCTTATAGAAGTCGGAGGGTCCCTTCTTCCTTGGACGCTGCAGCACGACTGTTCCCACCTCTAGTTCCCACCTTATAGAAGTCGGAGGGTCCCTTCTTCCTTGGAAACTGCAGCACAACTGTTCCCACCTCTAGTTCCCACCTTATAGAAGTCGGAGGGTCCCTTCTTCCTTGGAAACTGCAGCACAACTGTTCCCACCTCTAGTTCCCACCTTATAGAAGTCGGAGGGTCCCTTCTTCCTTGGAAACTGCAGCACAACTGTTCCCACCTCTAGTTCCCACCTTATAGAAGTCGGAGGGTCCCTTCTTCCTTGGAAACTGCAGCACAACTGTTCCCACCTCTAGTTCCCACCTTATAGAAGTCGGAGGGTCCCTTCTTCCTTGGACGCTGCAGCACAACTGTTCCCACCTCTAGTTCCCACCACTGCAACTCCTGTGTAGCCAGGATCTACCCACCTGCCACTCCTACCGCTGCAACCCCAGTAAAGCCCCCATAAGAAGTCCCTTCTCCTTTGGAGGCTTCGTGCGCCCTCAAAAGACCGCCAGCCGCCCGCCAGCCCGCCGCCGCCGCTTGCTGACGTGAGTAATAAATTAATAAATAAAAACATTTATTGCTTTTTTACACAGAAAAAGCCAGGGAAGCTACAGAGCCAAAGCATACGATGCGTTGCGTTGCGGTGTGTTGTGACGCCGGAGCGGTGTCGCTGCGTCGTCTTACCACAGAATAATAATAAGTACTACGTACAGAAGTTTTACTTCGCGAAGGTATTTAAAAAAATGTATGCTCAATGTCATTAACAATATGGTGTAATTTAGCCTGTCTCAAGAGTCAAGCACCATTTTGTTGACAAACGTCAGTGATCGGCACTGCGCCGAAGCTATAGGGCTGACTTCGGTAAAATGATGTGACGTGAGGTGCCAAACTGCGGAAAATGGCGGAGGAAATACATGATTTAGCATGAATTATCATGAATAATTTTAACTACTTATTTACCTCTCAGTGTCTTGAGGCAACTTAAAAAAGTGCATTCTGTGTTTTTATTATTATTTAGGCAGTTAAATACTGCACAGTATTTAACACCATTTTCTTTATTTTCTTTCATCATACACAAGAATACGCGTGCGTGAGCCAATGTTCGCTCGTATGTGAGGCCTTGTCGAATAGTATCCTGTAGGTGGGCCATCGTGCGTGTTTTGTTTTCGATGTAAACTCGCGGAGATGAACAGGCCTGGTCTTACATAGAATTATATCTGTGGCAATACGGCGAAATCTTTGTATTGACTCCGAGACGGCGCAGCGGCTATGATAGAAAAATTTATAGCGCGTCCTCTTTTTAAAAAAGCTATCCGAATCTAAATCGTTTCAATAGTTTGAGCGTGAAAGGTGTGCGCGTTTATAATCAAAGTTCTAACTTAGCCTTAAAGTGACTCGTCCTCAAACATGCATTTTTTAAACATTTGTGAGACACGCCTTCATACCACTAAAGTAACAGCGTGACATAAAGTATACGAAGGGCCATTAATAAATACTATAATAAAGCAAATATAAACGTTTGTTTGAGCCAAATAAACCATTTTTCTTTATTTCTTTCTTTCAAATATCAACGTAAGGAGGCTTGTCTTACAAACTTTATGTACTGTGTTATACATGCTCTCGACACGCCAAGTACACACCTTCGTGCCTTTAAATAACAGTTAAATAACAGTGTGATTGGTATGTAAATATTTTGCCCATTTATAGCTATTAATAATAATAATGGCAACATTTTGAAAAATTATGATAAAACAGACAAGATTTCTTATTATTTAAAAAAGTACTGGCAACAAAATAGAAAAGGTCACTCGCCAGGCGCCAACTATTTTTAAAGAGAAAAGTTTAATGCGTCTTCGAATTATATTTAACGTTATCATTACTATAAACATAGGATTTGTTTAATTATTGTGATAATCTGACATTCTTTATATATTGGACTGTTTGGTTAATACCAAACGTAGGTGATGTAGCAAAACTATTAATTCTGATAAAACTATTTTGTTGTTTGATTATGGATAATAGGATTGGGTTTTACATAAAAATACATCGCCATTCATAAATAATAATACTAAATTGTGTGTAATGTCGCCATCACCCCACGCCATTGAATGTCCCAAAGTTCTTTTCAAAAGTTGCTGTGCCCTAACTGGATCAATATTGTATACATAGTTGCTTAAAATGTAAGACCTAATGTGAATGCGCTAATGTGGTAAATAAATAAAGTATTGAGTATTGAGGTCCCATCACGCCGGATCTATTGACTTTGAATGTCCCCTAAATCAATATTTTGTAAAGTACCAGAATACAGAATTTCTCTGCATTGTGCAACATCAAATATTTGCAATATAGCTATCTGCGGAAAGTAACGATAGCAAACGGCAAACATTCGCTCGCTATAGCGTTGCTATTTTAGCGCAGCTAATTGTGTGCTATCTAGATAATAGATAGCGATCTAGCTGAAACTGGAATGGTGTTGGTCTATTATAAACCTTGTGCTATTTACTTTTAAGGGAAATCTTCCACTGACACGTTCAGAAACATCATTAGTTCACGATCAAGATAGATCTGACATGAGACTTATTTAGGTCTCTTGAAATGTATTAGACAGAATGTGTTCTGTAGGTCCATCGTTGGATGTCTGTGGCATTATTTATTTATTTATTTTAGGAAACGCATTAGGAAAAAAACAAAAATTCTAATTTACCTAATTATATTTTTTACGGGAATTCACGCATTATTATTGTGTGAATAATATTACAGAGCAAATATCACAATAGCCCGTGCGCTTTTGTAAATATTTGTCAATTAAACTACACTGTGGCTTTTCCCATCTAAATAAAGATACGTGCATCTGAAATGAACAAGAACCAAATATTTTATTTACAGTAAAATTATCCTGTTTACTTTTATATGCACCACTCCTAATTATACAACGCCATTAACAGATCTAGATTCTGTCCTCCTAGTAAAGTAAACTAGCCGAGTCACCATTCGTTTGCTACACAACTTCATAATTTATCAGATAGATTTATGTAACTGTTTCACTTTAGTCAAATATTTTTTTACTCTAATGTTAGCATAGTATCACAAGACTCCGGCCAGTGTTTTCTTGCTTTATCTAAAGGGCATGTGATGTGATACCATCTGTTTTGGACACCAATCTGGCGCGTGCGCCTAGATAGGTGCTGTGTGAACAGTTGTACTGGCTCCGAGCAGATTTTTTGATATGGCAATATTATTTTTGAAATGGATGCGATGTCCTTTGATGCTTGCAACACCGCATCTGATGTAGATCTTAAAATGATAGTGCATGCAAAAATCAGTGTTCTTAGATAGGTATTGTGTAAAAACAAATTACTGGATCGTACCAGATTTTTTGAGATGACTATATGGATGCGCTGTCCTTTGATGCTTGGATTGCCGCATTTGATGTAGATCTGAGATACTATGATTTGTTGATAAGTAAGTTGTTTTCCAAATATCTAATACTACATATTACGATTTATGCTTTTGAACTTTCATGGTCATTTAAGTACATTAGGTATAAAACATTGACATTTAAATATTTTATTTTTAGAATCTTTTACTTCATTTTCGACTACTTTTACAGATTTTACAGAACGAAGTTTGATTCAATCAAGTATAGGTTGAGACTTCTGATTGGTTGAATTTAACAGGGGACAAAATCTATGAATAAAATTGAATTGAGTTTTGGGCTATGTTTTTTTGTAATGCAGACAGTTTAGTGTGACTTGATCAGTTCATCATCTCTCTTAACTGCCTCCTAGGACATGCTGAAGCCTCATTCCATGTGGCCTTACATTACACTTAATAAGTATTATAAATTTATAAATGAAACAGCTTAAGAGCGGAAGCACACGATGCGTTGCGGCGCCGCACTGCAAAGATTTCGCAATATCACAGATGTTGCGTGTGCGTCGTGTGCCCTTCACAGATACTATGTAAGACGACGCAGCGTCACCGTTGTCGCAACGCATCGTATCCTTTGACTTCATTGACATATTGCGTTCCCCCGTTGCGAAACCCGTAGTTTACACGCCGCTTCATTTGCCGCGTCAGACGCGGCGTCGTTAGTCGCATGCGACGCCACAATGCCCACAATTCATACAAACGCTTGCAAAATAGCTTCTCCTTGTACGCTCTAAACCAGTGGTTCATCTATATATATAAAAGAAAAAGAAAGTCGTGTTAGTTACTCCACTTATAACTCAAGAACGGCTGAACCGATTTAGCTGAAAATTGTCGGGGAGGTAGTTTAGAGCCAGGAAAAGGACATAGGATACTTTTTATCCCGTTCGCTTAAAAAAAAGTCTGCTTATTTATTGCCATTAAGGCGGAACAAAGTTCGCCGGGTCAGCTAGTTTTTAATATTTAAGTCATGAGGGACCATTTTACCAAATTTCTGTCTTGTCAGGGACCACCTCATAATCGGTCAAAATCAGTTTGACTGCAAAAATCTGTTAAAAGTGGTTTTAACCAAGGTGTGCAAGTGCACTTCGTGGACCACTTGGAATGTCTCCAGGGACCACCAGTGGACCGCGGACCACCGGTTAAGAACCACTGCTCTAAGGTCTGCCGTATGTTTGTGTTTCGCCCCGCGTCTCCTTGAACGGGGCCTAACAGGATATGCTTTTAGCAATATCCACATATCCTAACCTTATTTCTCCATTGCTCCAGGTAGTAAAATCGAGCCAATCTGCGGGCTGTTCGCTCTGCCGCGTGGTGCTACCGGACGGCGCTACGTCGGTGGTGGGCGTGGAGCCGGGCGTGCCGGTGCGGCGCCTGGTGGAGCGCCTGCTGCAGCGCCGGAACCTCGCCGCCGCCGCCTATGACGTGCTGCTGAAGGATGCTGGACAGGTAGGCATCGTAGACTGTAGTGGCTTTCAGGGAGACGAAGGATACTGATCAGGCACGTATGGAGCGAAATGACAGATCTTAGGCATCATTTAGGTCACTCTGCAGCGCAAAAACCTCGCCGCCGCCGCCTATGACGTGCTGCTGAAGGATGCTGGACAGGTAGGCATCGTAGGCTGGAGTAGCTTTCAGGGAGTTCAGGGACATTGATCGGGTACGAAACGAAATGGATCTTAGGCTTCATCTAGCTTTGTCTCATCTTTCCCAGCAGCGCAGGAAACTCGCCGTGCTGCTGAAAGACGCGGGACAGGTACGTGGAAGCTTTCAGGTTTTAGGCAGCTTCCAGCTATTGCGGAAGAAGTGAGGAACTACACGGCCGCGTACGACGTCTTACTGACCGTCGCTGATCAGCTACGTGGGGCGAATATTTCCAGGTCTTAGGTAGTGTCTACTCTTTCGGTGGAATTTCTCATTATGATCTTAGGCCGCACCCATGAAAGAAGACATGCTGCGTAGTGTTCCCTAATGGACGCTAATCAGGGATCACCTTCTAAGTTCTTAGGCAGCAATCGTTCTCCCATGAAAGTTTCCTTCCTTCTTTATAGAAGATACTAGGGCATTAGACGCAAACGTGGTCGACCCAGGCAAATTTGGCGGCGCACTGTAGCGGACGAGGCGAAGAGGATCGGCAAGACCTGGAGCGAGATCAAGCGAGAAGCTCAAGATCGAACGAGATGGGGGACTGTTGTGGACGCCCTCTGCCTCATCTAGGGGACATAGGACCATAATTCAAGTAAGTCAGGGCATTAGAGGTCCAGGTACGTGGCAGGCTTCAGTCTCGCCAATCGGCGGGCTGTTCCTTATGCCGCGTGGTGCTACCGGACGGCGCTACGTCGGTGGTGGGCGTGGAGCCGGGCGTGCCGGTGCGGCGCCTGGTGGAGCGCCTGCTGCAGCGCCGGAACCTCGCCGCCGCCGCCTATGACGTGCTGCTGAAGGATGCCGGACAGGTATGTACTATAGACTGGAGTGGCTTTCAGAGAGACGAAGGATACTGATCAGGCACGGAGCGAAATGGATCTTAGGCTTCATCTAGCTCTGTTTCATCTTTCCCTGCAGCGCAGGAAACTCGCCGTGATGCTGAAAGACGCGGGACAGGTACGTGGAAGCTTTCAGGTTTTAGGCAGAATCCAGCTTCCAGCTATTGCTGAAGAAGTTAAGAACTACACGGCCGCGTACGACGTCTTACTGACCGTCGCTGATCAGCTACGTGGGCGAATGTTTCCAGGTCTTAGGCAGTGTCTACTCTTTCCGTGGAATTTCTCATTATGATCTTAGGCCGCACCTAAGATAGAAGACATGCTGCGTAGTGTTCCCTAATGGACGCCAATCAGGGTTCACAGGGATCACCTTCCAAGTTCTTAGGCAGCAATCGTTCTCCCATGGAAGTTTCCTTCCTTTATAGAAGAGACTAGGGCATTAGAGGTCCAGATACGTGGCAGGCTTCAGTCTCGCCAGTGGGCGGGCTGTTCGCTCTGCCGCGTGGTGCTACCGGACGGTGCTACGTCAGTGGTGGCGCGGCCGCGTATTACTTGCTAATCTTCTAATCTAAAGGAAGTTGCTTTTTTATGACAAAGACTAGAGCAGCAGAGAAATTTCGTTTAAGCTGCGTTTCCAACTTAGATGTGCGAGGATGAGTAGCATGGGATGTATTTGTAAAGAACCAATAGAATCGCTTCACTTACCTCGCCTCGATAAATGAAGCGATTCTATTCTGAGCGATCCTGGTGGAAACTCAGCTTTATAACTGAAGGACGCTGATTAGCTATGGTGGAGTGCAATGATTTTCAGATCTAAGGCAGGAATATACTTCTCGTAGAAATTCCCTTTCTAATCTAAGACAGTATCCAGTTTTTTCTGTGGAAGTTTTTGTAGTAAAGACAAGGGTATTAAGTTGAGCTTCTAAGTTGTAAATGCATATCCTGTAATAAACAAGAGGCTGGAAAAAGTTTATTTTGCCACTTCTTCTCACAACCAGCCGATATAATTTCCTGGAGTGGTGATAAAACAAGCTATATTTTGATTTTGGATTTGTTTATGTGATGTGAAAAGGGTCAAAAAACCCTTGACCTAATCGTAATTGAATTATTTATACTTTTGACTAACAATACCTATCTTTTGTCCACAGGGCGAGTCGGCAACCATCGACCTATCCTCTCCATCCACCATTATCGGCGGGCGTGAAGTAGTGGTTGAACGTCGCGCGGTTGTACGAGTGGAATTAGCTGGACGCGTGGTGGCCGTTAGATGTAGACCCGCGCGCCGGTTGAGACATGTTCTGAGGCCGGTGTTAGCAAGATACGCGCCTGCACACGCCTTGGTCACACAAAGATTGGTGCTAAGAGACGGGTGTCACGTTCATCCTGATACACTCATGCAGGTAATTTTCTTTCATTATAGGTTGTGCTATTTTTATTACATACTATAGGCAACGTGACATCCATACAGCGATTCATACTCCGGGATAGGTGCCATTTGCATCATACTTTCATGTAAGTAACTGGCCGGACGCGTGGTCGCTGTTAGATGTAGGCCCGCGCGCCGGTTGAGACATGTTCTGAGGCCGGTGTTGGCGAGATATGCGCCCGCGCACGCGCTAGTTACACAAAGACTCGTGCTAAGAGACGGGTGCCACGTTCATCCTGATACACTCATGCAGGTAACTTTCATTACTTTCGTGCGCTTTTCAGACACATTAAGGCAACGTGCCCGCGTCTTCCACATAGCGACTCGTATGGCGGGATAGGTACCACATGTATCCAGCTATTCTTTTGTAAGTAAGTAGTCGTACGAGTTGAATTAGCAGGCCGCGTGGTCGCAGTTAGATGTAGACCCGCGCGCCGGTTGAGACACGTTCTGAGGCCGGTGTTGGCGAGATACGCACCCGCGCACGCGCTAGTCACACAAAGACTCGTGCTAAGGGACGGCTGCCATGTCCATCCTGATACACTCATGCAGGTAACTTTCTTTCCTTTCATTACTTTCGTGCGGTTTTCAGACACATAAAGGCAACGCGCCCGCGTCTTCTACATAGCGACTCATATGGCGGGATAGGTACCAGATTAATCCAGATATTCTCATGTAAGTAAGTAGTCGTACGAGTGGAATTAGCCGGGCGTGTAGTCGCAGTTATAGTCTGGTCTGTTGCTGTCGCGCTCGCACACTCACTGCGGGCGCCCGTCGCACAGTCGTGACAGCAATATAATTACGCGCGAGCGATAAGGATGGGTAGCTTGGGGTCATTGGACAAAATTCTACGTGCTCACGGACCGGGCTTTAGATGTAGACCCGCGCGCCGGTTGAGACACGTTCTGAGGCCGGTGTTGGCGAGATACGCGCCTGCACACGCCTTGGTCACACAAAGATTGGTGCTAAGGGACGGGTGTCATGTCCATCCTGATACGCTTATGCAGGTTCGTTCTTTTCAACTAAATTACTTTTACTCCTGGATAAAAGGATTCTCCTAGGATTCCCACAATGATCACTCCTTCGCTGCCCGCAATTAAGTGTATCCGTCCACCGAGTGGGAGAGGTATGCCTATACTACGTTTTCTGGTCCGTGGTCACCATTCGACTGTGGTCGTGGTCTGATGCAGGAGATACATCCTTATTTTACTTTTCTTCCATTAAAGCTTCATAAGTTTCGCTGCCGCCTCAGGCAGAAAATGACTAATGATTCGGTTCGATTAGCCTAGGCGCAAAACACCGATTTTTTGTCGGCCTTTAGTTTGGTCGGGCTGTTAATCCAGTACGGACATGTATAAAATGCGCACATTGGTATCGGCCGATTCTTCATACAAATTAGAATTGGGCCCAACTATCGGCAACACATCTGATCCCTCATAGCCCTCTTGCAATAAACTAACTGAGATATCTCAGCTTTCAACAATGTAGAATAGAATTATAATTTTTGTTTCTATTGTCTCCAGGAACTAGACGGAGCACGGCTTCAAATTGTGGAAGTGTCTGAGAGCACGACGTGCACGACCGAGCGCGACGACGATGCCGACTCGCTTAGTGACCTGGCGCTACGGCTGCAAGACGACGCCAAGGAGTTCGATGTCCAGGTAGGCCTTTTTTCGTCAGGAAATGCATTGTTAGTGAATTATGTGGAGCTCTCTTTACCACACGGGTGGGACCTAACCACCAAAACCTAACGGTGTCGACTAATGCTGGATTTCTATATTCAATCCTAATCCAAATTATACGGATTTGGATTGTCAACTGTCAAATTTTAATATGTTTTTGGCCAAAATAACTGCGGTTTTTGATGTTTTTACATTTTTATATTGTTTATAAGACTATTTAAATAATATTCAAGTGTAAATGCATCGAAAATTTTGGAAATATAATCTAAAACTGAATTCAATTTGACAGTTGTAATCCGGATTTGGACAAGGATTGAATATGGGAATCGGGCGTAAGTCTATTGGAAGGCTACCTATAGCATCATGTATTAGACAGTGCATGTATAGTGCATGCACCACAGTAATAGTCGGCTAGACAGCTTTATATGTGCAGTACAGGCAGCAGACTCGTCATATCGGTCAAATACCAAAAGTACGAAAAGCGACATGTCTATAAGACAGCAATCGTTGTGTAGGACTTTCCTAGCTACATAGACATATCAACGCACAACCTAAACGGCTAAACGTAGGCACTTGAAATTTGGAAGGGACGTAGCTTAGGTACCGTAGAGGTGCACTAAGAAAGGAATTCCCGAAATTTCCACGGGAACAGGAATTAGCGGGAAAATCCTTTTGTATGAAAAATCTAAACCGCTTAAGTTAGACGCTTGAAATTTGGCATGCAGGTACCTTAGTAAACTTAAAGCTTATTAACAACGGGATATTGCAAAATTCCCACGGGAACGGGAGTTAGCGGGGAAAAACATTTGTATGAAAAAATCTAAACCGCGTAAGATAGATGAAGGGGTAAAACGGGATCCACGCGTACTAAGTTGCGGGCGGCCGCTAGTACCCTAATAAGCAGCTAGCAATGACAGCATAAGAATCATAAATAAGCTCTTTACAATCAGTCACAAAAACTAATCAATGTTTTTTCTATCACAGAGTGCGAGCAGCTCCAGCAGAAGCATATCCAACGGCTTCTCTACTCCCGGCCTGGCGTCATCGCTCGCCGCCGGCCTGCCCGCGCTGCCCCCCGCGCTGGGGGCCCCGGCGGGGGGGGCCGGGGGGCCCGCGGGGGGCCGCGTGCGCGCCGCGCTGCGCTCCGGCCCGCCGCTACACCATCACCCGCCAGGTTGGTTGGAATGAGATCTTGATTGATAAATACGTGTAGAGTATTTTTTGATAAGTTAACTGACGGACTAATTAAAACTCTTGCTTTTTGACCCAGGCAACATCCCCATTTCGGTGTTGGACTGACCAACTCAATATCCAAGGGTTCGAGCCCTGCCACCGCTGAACTATTAAACCCATTCGTAACACAAGCATTTTAGTTTACTATGAGGGGTTAACAGGAATAACAGGACAGTTGTAACAAAGTATTGTGAAAAAAAGTATTGTACTGAACACTGATGTGTGGAAAATAACACCTATTTGTAACCACATAAGACGGTAGTGTTTTTGTGATTTTTAATTTTCAACGTTTCAAAATATCCCAAAATTCCACTTTGATTATTAACTATAAAACGCTTGTGAAAGATTTCTGACACTAAAATTCTATTGAATAATAAATAAATAATAAATCTTTGGACAATTTCACACAGCGCCAGCTAGCCCCAAAGTAAGCAACTTAATGCTTGTGTTATGGGTGCTAGCTTGACGGATATACTACTTATATACTTTGAATAATATCACATTATTCTCATTACATCCAAATAGAAAACTAACTCAACATCTCCCTATTACAGACTTCCTAGAAAACCTCCGCGAGACGCAACGCCAGCGGCTGCAGAAGGAGCCCTCCCCGCCGCCCGCGGGCCCCGCCGCGCCCCGCGCGCCGCCCCCGCTGCCCCCCAAGCCGTCCCAGCGGGCCCCCACCGTCGTGTGAACACGGGGGACGCTGGCACTCTGGGACTCTACTCACCGGGGTTAATGACCGCCCCGAATGTCTGTGCCCTTCCTCTGCTCGCCGATCAGGTGACAGATGATTGTGTTCAACTCAGCATCCGTCTCCGGACTCTGTGGTGCGCCGATTGAAGTCTCGCGCCAAGTTTTGTCTGTGGCGCGCCGGACGTTAACGATTACGTCACGATCGCGATGTAAAATACTGATTGTTTTGATTCATGACTGATTGAATGTTACATGCGTTAAAAATATGATTTTGCCATGAATTGATTATTGTAAATCATATCGATATGTAGATAAATAAATTCGCAAACGATCTTGATTAATTGTAATCTGCTCAAATAGCCATTTATTAGTGTTGTAAATGCATCTATTGGATATAGTTGTTGAGTAGTATTGATTGTTTTATTTGTACAAATGTATGCCATGTTATGAAATCATTCCAACTATGAAATGTACAATGATTGTGTATTAGTTTTCGCACTGTATAAATATTGTAAATATGTTGTGACTAAATAATGATGCCTTCCATAGTGGATAAGACTGCACTAACTTTATGAGTGCCTTGCAGTGTTCAGTACATACCTAAAGGGTCAAGGAATTGATGAGAAATTGATTTATGTAATTTAAGATGTAACTTTTTTAAATATATTCATATTTATGAAACATATCATTTTGTTATTAGTAAAATTGCAACTGTAAAATAGAAAATGTTAATAAAATTTTAAATCACCTAGCCCTAAACAAGGGGAAAACTAACGCTAGATATGAAACTAACAAATTGTACTGTAAGTGTGGGTACTGATAGTCTAGTAATTTATTGTTATAAACAAAGCATACAAGAACAAGAGTAATTGCTCTGAGAGTATTAAATATTGAAAATAAAATTGATTGAAAATTATCAAGCTATTTTAATTTACTGTTTTTTTTTTCTAAATAATGCATCACTCACTTCATTATACAAAAGGAGGAAACAACGTCAACTCGTGAGAGGCAGCCCCTATTGTATAAAAAAAAAATACACGAGATATTGAGCTACTCAAACTTGGTCATGTCATCACTGAATTTCTATCACAAATTGTGCATCTGTCACGAATTGTTGGATACAAAAGACATGTAAACTATTAATAAAACTATTTATTCATCTAAATACATATACAATCACTTATCAGCTATCGCAGGAGTCTCCGTTTTCCCATCAGTCACCAGCGGCACCGGTTCTGGTTCCGGCTGGATTCTGGTCAACTTGGAAGGATCTTTCGGCGGCGCCCAGTCGGGAATAATCTTGTCGTGTACGCGCCAAGTTCCATACATGTTGGAGAGGTGTTTCTCGAAGACCACATACTCTAGGACGTCTTTGGCTAAGATCTCGCTGCCGTGGATGAGGCGCCCGAAACGGTCGTAGACGGCTAACTGCTGGCGGGTGTGGAAACGGACTGTCACCTGCAAAAAATATTTGATTTTATTAAATCACTCATTTATACAACCAACACATTCATACAGAGGAAACATTAAGAGAATAAGCTATGGGGTTTCATTCACTAATAGTACGCTGAAAGTAGCCACGAGGGTTTTCGCGATTGAAAAATCCGCCAGATGGCAATACGTAGACGGGAGGTCCTTAAATCCTTGGTGGATTTTGACATGACATTGACAGATATGTCAAAATCCACCAATCATGCAGCATTTGGACCTCCCGTCTACGTATTGCCATCTGGCGGATTTTTCAATCACGAAAACCCTCATTGGAGCTACTCAAACTATTTTCAACAATCTTTCCTTTGAAATAAAAAATCTAACCTGCCCAAAGATGTTTTCCTTGCTGATGACATCAGTACAACGAGCATGGACCACTCTAGGTGGCTCCAGGGAATCCAGGAATTTCCACCGAATAGTCTTACGCAACGAATTATGCATAAACTCCGGGTATGCCTTCTCCGTCACATGCAATCGTAGCTCCCTCTTATCGTGATTAGCTAAAGCCTCATGAGCTTTGATGTAGATATCCTGTGCGATGCTAGCAAACTTTTTTGAGTCAAAATCTTCTTCAAATGATTTAACTTTACGTATTGCCATCATTGATTTGGATTTTTTCTCAAGTAGCTCAACGGTTTGTTTGGCACGTGATGCAGAGACGATGGATGCTTTGCCGTCACCCTCTGGTGGTACGTATGGTTCAAAGACTCCACCTGTAACAGTAAATTTGAATATTAAAACATTTTTACTTTTTGACTGATAAAAATACTTTGTCTTAATGAAAAAATTCTGATAAAACAATTCTATGTTCCAATATTATTGTGTATGAACAAAGTGTATTTGAAAATAATATTAGGTACCTGTAGCTGAAATATAGAATGGACGTTCCATCCACGGCCTGGGTGGTAGAACTCCTCTTTCCTTCATTTTTTGCCTCAACTTTTCTTTCGAAAGTGTATCAAAGTCTTCATTGAAGTCAGGTAGCTTCACCTTTACAAACTTTTTGGCTCGTAGCTTCTTAAACTTGGGATCATAATGCTTGGCTTGGGTGGTGCGGACCGCTTGTGTAAATACTGCGGCTGGGGTGAGCCGCAAGGCTCCCATCTGAATACAAAATTAGTCAGTCTTTATTCCATAAACATTAACATAAAAAGTTTATTGACTGATGGCTATAAAATTGTGATTAGATTAAGTATGTTAACTCCATGATCGGTGAGAGATTGGTTTTCGAACTAATTGACTTTATTTACAAGTAATTTTGCAAAAAATTAAGTTGTAAAGTAAAAACTACAAACCTTCGTTAGTAAAGAGTTCGCCATAGTTATAGATGTATGACTAAATTTTTGAAACAAAAGAATAAGTAATTTAAATGAACATATTTAGAACACGAAAACTAATAATTATAGAGATTTATTTAACTTTTTATGTAAAATTCCTCCCTTTTATAACCTAAAACAAAATAGAGAACAACAGCTGGCTGGGTTGTCAATGTCAAAATATATCTTGTTCCTGTTTTATTCATGCCAAGATTAACGACAGTAACGATAACGATACTTATAGAAAAAAAAAACACTTGCCAGGTCATTAAACTAGGCAAGTTTTATGTGAATTTCCGAAGCAGTCGTAGTTAAAAATGTTACTTGTATTTTACATTACTTATCTAAAAACTTTTTACGTTTTAAAGATCTATTNCAACAACATTACATTATAGCTTCTTGGTATCATTATAGCTGATTCGTACATTTTTCAATCAATTCTGGGGGCTGACCTGACCATTCTGGGGTGCCATAGTCCCGAGCATGGGGGGGGGGGGGGTGATCGCCCCGGGTGCCAAGCCATGCTACGCCGCCACTGAAGATAATGACTGTATTGTTGTCGAGTAAGCTTTTCCTGATTCATTTTTTAGATCTTATTTGCCTAATGTTAAAGTTTAATTTTAATTCACTTCTGTACCGTTAATTATAAATATATAGCCTGACCAGGAACATAAAAACCCTGGCATAGAGGCGCGTCAATTGCATTTGATAGTGCAACACTGAGTACAGTCGTACCTGTGTTAAATTAATAGGCTAACTTTATGTATCAGGATTCAGGATTACGGGCTAATTTGATATTTTCATGAATTAACGAAAAAATATTATTATAGGTAACCTGGTTTAAATAAATTAAATGAAAACATCAATCGAAATTAGTACCATTAGTTTTCCGCAACATGGCGAGGGTTTTTATGTTCCTGGTCAGGCTATAGATGCAACTATTCGGCTTAAGTTAATAGCGTAACGTTATTGGATATCGAAGAATGGAATAGTACTAAAAATATGACACAAGGAACATACCCTCCAAAATGTCTATGGTGTTTTGTTTTTTCTGCCATTTTTAGTCAATTAATTACCATTCAATTTGTGATTTTTACAAAGTAATACAAAATTCATCAAATTTGTTGTGTCGTCTTTTAAAATATTTTTATTAATTTTGGAGTTATTAACGTCGCTATACGTGACTTTTTATAAAATTATTTATGTTACGTATTATCTGCCCTTGTAGAGGTTTTTACGTGTTCTAACGTTGTTTAGATTTATTAGCAATAGTATTCAATATATCAAATTCAATATTTTCTATAAATATTGTCGTAATATAGTCCCAGACACGGGAAACAGTGAAAAATCGCTCAAGAAAATTTGAATCGATTGTCTTGCCCGCACCGGACTTCCGGCGACTCCAACACACGTTGTCTCTAGCCCGAGGGAATAGAGATCGACGCAGCGTTTCTTTCTTTTCTGAACAGGCGCAGTCCGAGAGAACTCGCAAAAGGAGTAAAAGGCTCCTACATAACCTGTCACTACGTAAGTATTAGTGCACACATACATATGTAGATTGCGCAGCGCGTTAGGAAGTTCGCGTCGGTCATTTGTGCTCTTTGCTGACTCATAGTGGTTTTATCGAATCGCGAAAGTTTAGCTGAGAATTTTCTTGTTGTTTCGGCGGGTGCATCACCTTCTCAGTAAGTAGAGCACAGGCGACGCCATAGTCCTAGGGGGCGAAGGCTGCCCGGCTGGCGCGCCGTGTTGCGTGGCGCAGAGCGGGCGATGACCTTAGTCTAACGGGCACGGGGCACCACCTTTCTCATTACCGTAGCATAATCCTAATTGCCACGTGTTTCTGTTTCAGCAATATATTGTATGAGTCAGAAGGTAGAAAAACCAGTATTATCGGGTCAACGGATCAAGACCAGAAAAAGAGGTGAGTGACAAAGTTCATATTTCCTAATAATTTCACTTTTGCTTGTAAACAGTTTTATGATGCTGCCTTGACCATGATCAGTGGCGATTTCTTTCAGAACATAAATGTCAGTAAAGTAGGTCATGTACATAACACTGCATTGAATCCAGCATACAAAGAAAGTTCTATACCTACCTACTTACAGATGTACAATAAGATCCTTGTCCTTATTTTACTGAATGATAAATCTATCTTGGACATGTACAACTTATGTATCAGTTCGTGGAACTTGTTTGTTGGTGATTAAAATTCATTTGTTGCAATTGACTTCAATACCATGTGGTATTCACCAACCTACATTGGTTTGATTAATTTTATTGCTTGTTGTTTATTGTTACATAAATATTTTGAAGTCTATCATTACATAGATTTAATTAGTAGTTTTTACGCAATGTTTTTGCTTTGTTGCATGCACTGCCACTTAGCAAATGAGTCGCAAACCTGAGTCATTTCCAAATAACTTTGTATTCAACAAGAATAACATGCATTTGTGTAAATGATATGAATATTCTAGAAAATATATCAAAACAGGAAAAGTATTCACAGTTCCTTGTTGTACAATTTAGGTACCTACCTACGGAGTACCTATTCTGTTAATTTTTTTAATTCATTAAAATGATAGCTACCCACATTATTATTTTACAAAGATTTAAAAGTAACTATTAAAAGACATAATAATCATAAATTATTTTAGATTCACTTTCTAATACTTTTACTAATTTGAACACTACTTTTTTAAATGGTAGGAATGTACATTGTATTTTACTGATATAATTAGTTACACATGAAACTGACACATGATACTAGACTGTAATCTATATATATAAAAGAAAGTCGTGTTAGTTACTTCGCTTATAACTCAAGAACGGCTGAACCGATTTAGCTGAAAATTGTCAGGGAGGTAGTTTAGAGCCAGGAGAAGGACATAGGATACTTTTTATCCCGTTCGAAATTAAAAAAAAAAGTCTGCTTATTTAATGCCATTAAGGCGGAACAAAGTTCGCCGGGTCAGCTAGTAAAGCATAAAGCAAAGAATATGTATGATGTAAAATAATTTCTCAATTTTACTTGTTTTAAAATTAATTAGTATCAGTTAGTTATGAAATGAAACTATTATGTTGCGATGGATACTCATTGTAAATGAACTAAATTATCTCATTTAACTGTCCACTGCGGAATTTATGATTTGCTGCAGTTCAAGGGTCGTGTTTATTTAATAACATATCAATATAAAATAATATCTCTTTGTTGTGAACTTGAGTTTCTCACGAGTTGATAAGTTATCTTATTATAATTTGTGGTTCTTACTACTTATTACTCTCAAAATTACATTTCCTGTATTTTAATATTTGGTGCCTCTAAGTTCTTATCTTTCTTTACCTGGCCTTTGGTGCCTGTAAATTCAAAATTACTTATTTTATTACTATGAGGTGTTATCACATTATTCTCAGTCTTATGACTGCATCTAGAGACTGTATTTTAAACAGCTTATTGACGCATTATGGTTACTGTTTTCAACACAAAAGTGAATTCGAAAACAATTGGACCAATTTCATAAAATTTTTCATCATTAAAATGCTACATTATCCCTGCAGTAAGTAATATAGCAGACGAAAATTCACGCGAGCGAAAGTTAGTCAAGCAAGTGTAAAGTTATTTTGAATTAAAAGCCGAGAATACGCCCTAAAACTAATCCTACTTATTAAACACAAAAGTATCTGCAATATTCCTGAAATGTAATTTCCGCATTTTGCCGGTTAGATTTCATGTCGCCTCGCTAAACGGCTTTTTGTTGGACGAGCTATAAAAACGCTATCTGCCTTATCAGAAGTTCTCGAGGAAGTGCTAAGAGAACTCAATGTCAGGTGACAATGAGTTGACTTGCCGCGGTTTTTGTTATCAGTTAACTAATCAACGTTTTCTTTGTCGGGTAAAATATCGGCGGAATAGTAGAATAATCATTTAGGTATTACCTAATTATTTTTCCTATTAACGACAAATACTACCAGACCGTTTTTTTTTAATGGCTAACTTTTCCCCGCGGTTTCTCCCTCATGAATTTCGTTATGTCACGAAGATACGCGCACGTGTCCAAGACCGGGGTTGGTAATAAAATAAAACTACCATTTGTATTTCCTGGATCTCAAACTATCTAGTTTGAGATAGATACCAAAGCGTGAGAAAGGGGCAGAGTTACTTTCGCATTTCTAAAATTTTAGTATGGATGAAATTTTATATCACAGCAAATAAGCGTCAAGCTATCCCTGCCAAGTCCTTCCAAATAACAATACCGCACCCAAGGTTTTTTCGCAGTAAAGAATTAAATTGTACACCAGTACAGCAGATGTATTGACTCGGCCGGGAATAGGCTTGCATAACAAATAATAATATTAATTCAAGGCCCATACCTCCCACTTCAAACACATGTTCATTTGAACCTATTTGAAGTGTAGTCATCAATTCTTGTATTTGTTAATAGGGTGATGTAAACCACGTGGTTAAAAAAGCTGTGTAAGTTTTCGACTCGATGGACTCATGATTTAGAGAAATAACTACCTCTAGTGAGTGCCAGTGCCCCAAAGCACAGTAGATATAGATTTATCTACTGTGCCCAAAGCTTTGCTCAGGGCAATGTCAATAATGATAGTTTAAATTTACTGGTTCAAAACGTATTATTAACCGAGTTTCCTTCCCGTTGGAGTAGGCAACTGCTGGTTGAATTAGGATTCCAATAAAGACGTCATAATATTATTGCTTTCCTTTCCGAATTCTAATTCCCATGCGAAACAACGCAAATGTACGAATTCTCGAAATTCGTAGGGTAAGTAATGATGTGTAAATATGTCTAATATAGTGGTTTTTGTTCTTTTTTGAGTGTTTCATAACATCAATATCATTTACAAACAAAGGAAACGTTTTTATATTATTTCAATTGGATAATCTATAAAGTAAAGACCATCATCAACACTTATTTTCTAGAATTGGCCAAGTGCCTACCATAGCCTACCATAAATCAATTTATCGCAATAGAACTGGTTTCATACAACAGTTTCTAGCAAATAACGTCTGTTATGATGCTATTTTGCTCCATACATAATGTATAAGAAACTCGCGAAGCCATAGTACCGTACGCAAACAAGAATGGAATAGTAATCACTAGTCACTACACAATTGTCACGATAGATCCAATTGAAGACTATCGAACGCTCCGTGCTTTCTAGAAGAATCTAAGAATTGATTTTGTGGTGATTTCCCATCTAAAATGGATCACCAAGAGAAAAAGCTGTTCCAAAAATTTGGCACTGAGCAAAGTTGCAATAAATGCGATTTTGCAATAAAAAGTGATGTACGTACACTGTATATTTTCTTCCTTTGTTTAAAAGTGGTAGTGTGCCACAGGGCTTCCGCGGAAAACCAGCAACACGAAAAGAAAAAAAGAAAATTAGTGGGATACATGCTCGTAACGACATGTCAAGATAAATGCTGAGCGAGCCTATTGGCGCAGTATCCCACTAATTTTATCTTTTTCTTTTCGTGTTGTGTTTTTATTGTTTATAAATTTTGCTCAATGTGTTCAATAAAGTCCATTCTTCTATTCTATTCCATACTTCGAGAAAATTCCATCCGATATTCATAGATTGGTATACTTCTAAGGTTCCATCCAATATTTAGAAGCACTTCACTTTAATTGGCCCTCACCAATCCGTATGTCGTCATGGAAAAGTGTGACCCAAACCATTTAGCAATTGAGGAGACGACTTTAGTTGTCCCTTTATTGTATTAGGTTTTCGGGGACAGGCTGAGGGCGAATCCATCACTGATATGTTTGACATTTTAGGCAAATTGACTGTTGCTTGAACTTGGCTAAAATGTTTCAAAAAATCAAAAACACTGTAAAATATTTTATCGCCTATGTTTAGCACAAAAATTCTAAGATTGTAATGGTAAAAGCAATCATTCCTCATTATTATGTATGATACAAAAGTTAGAACGGCAAAATGTAGGCGGTCTTATCATTACTAAGCGATCTCTTTCACACAACCCCCGTGAAGAATCAATTCAATGAGACTGGTCTAGTTCCGAATTTTCCAGAATCATCGAGAAAAGCAATAGCGCAATCATTACGTAACCAGCTTTTCAACAGTATCTAATGAAAGAAAAACTGAACACGACGTTAACTAATTTATTATTGGAACAAGTTACTTTCAAGGTGCTTACTAAGTCAATCCTAAGTTGGGAGTTGGCCAGATATCTTGACTGCTTTGCATATTAATCAGGTTTCCTCGCGGAGATAAAACTCTAAGGTCGGCAAATAAGGTCGAAGGTATCTTTTAAAACCTTGTTCTTAAAACAAGATTTACAAGTAAAGTTAACCCAGTATTTTCATCGTAAACTAAAAGTTTTACTCGCGAATTGATAACATAAAAAGGTAACGGATGGTCATACATTTATTCATAGTGATACATGCATAACTTAAGAATCTTTAGTCCTCGATCCATACACATAACACATGCATATTATAATCTGTTGGAATTGAATTTGAATAATTTCTATTCTAAGAACTTCGTAATAAAAACACGACTAGAACCGAGTAAAAACAAATTTATTTACTCAAGAGGCTAAGAGTAAAGCTATGAATTAATTGCCTTTGTACTGTACATTATTCCATTGTTATAATAATATCTCTCTCGTTGAAATAACTCCTTTGTTTCCGTCGTACTGGTGTACAATTTCTCGGTTCTCGTGTTGTTACACATTCGCTAATTGACAGCCAAAAACATCATAATTTTATTGTCAAACAATGTGGTGAAGTAAATTGGACTGTGTATGACATTATACATCCAAGTTCTTGAATCTGGATTCTGGATAGTATACCAGTAATAATTATTTCACAATGGGGAATCTCCAGTCAGACCATTGAATACGTTCTATGATTTCTTTAAACGCGATTTTTTTTTTCATACATTTTGTGTGGTAAACAAGTAAATTAGAACTTAACGCTAGCTCAGTTGACTCGCATGTTATTGATTCCTAGATTTTCTAGGTCACTTAAAATTGTGTGTTCTTGTACACAGCAGTTGTACCTAGGAATTATTGTTCTACACACATCGCGATAGCCCAAAGATCGGCGCGATCGCAATGCGAGCCAAATATTCGCGGATACTTCGGTGCTTTTGCATAGTCCCAAGGATTTCGCTCCGCTGTCACCCGAATGCTATCGTGATCAGTGTGGCCTAGACATAGGGTGTTTTTAATATCGTACGGATTTCAATACGCACGCGGGATGGCCCTACGTCCACTCACTTCCCGCGTGCGTATTCCAGGCATTACAATAATTATTACTCGTAGGAAAAGGACACTTGCGGGTGTCATGCACGCGGGACAATAATTCCGCGTACGTGGTGAAAAATATCCTTACAAACGGGACTGTTTCCAGCTCTCGTTCTCACCGCTGCAACTCCTGTGTAGCCAGGGTGTACAGCTTGATCGCCAAATAACCCAACCAGTGGAGGCCAAGTCATACCCTTACTTATGTCATTTATGTTTGTCTCCAGATGAGAAAGAGAAATATGACCCGAACGGGTTCCGCGACGCGCTCGTGCAGGGGCTCGAGCGCGCCGGCGGCGACCTGGACGCGGCGTACAAGTTCCTAGACGCCGCCGGCTCCAAGCTGGACTACCGACGCTATGGAGAGGTCATCTTCGACGTGCTCATCGCCGGGGGCCTCCTGTGTGAGTACTTACACACTAGCATCAGGTTCACAACTGGGTGAAGCGATTTTCTGGTCAACGTTTACTCACAAAACAGATCCGCTCGGGTACGTCGGCACATGGATTCCACAGCGGTAGGCAAAGTCTGCTGTAGGATAACGCTTCCAATAGAATTCCACACACTATGTAGGTATAGAAGTCTTCAAATTAGGCTACAGCAAGTTGCTTGCTATGGGCGCATTGCACTACACTGTCTACATCACAAGCCTTTTCCACTGCTGGAAAAACTCCTTCAAAAGTGCGCCACAGCAATCGGCTCAAGAGGGCTACTATCTGACGCCGTCAAGTGCTGAAATCTTGCTTCGCGTGAGATTAGAATATCGTTCGTTCGTTTCAGCCAAATGACGTCCACTGCTGGACAAAGGCCTCCCCCAAGGTTTTCCACAATGAACGGTCCTGCGCTGCCCGCATCCAGGCTCTTTGGCAGGAGAACCAAAGTAACCGACATAGCTCGCAGAATTGCTAAAATCAAGTGGCAGTGGGCGGGGCACATAGCTCGTAGAGACGATGGCCGTTGGGGCAGGAAAGTTCTCGAGTGGCGACCACGGACTGGAAGACGTAGCGTGGGCAGGCCTCCTACTAGGTGGACCGACGATCTGGTAAAGGTCGCGGGATTAGAATATACTTTAACGAAACCAACAAGCGGTCTTTTCGTGCTCCCAAAATGATGAAACAACTAGGCTAGAGTCCTGAATCTCATGTTGAGACATCTCGTTCGTTCATATCTGACGATTTTCTCACCTTATATTCCCCACACATACCTTGAACACATAACAACAGCCTGTCTGTCTCACAGTGCCCGGCGGTTCCGTGTCGATGGATGGGGAGTCCCCTAAGACTAACACCTGCATATTCGCCGCCAGTGAAGATATGGAGACGATGCGCAACTTTGAACAGGTTTGTTGGTGTTTTTGAGTAGAATTTATTTACTTTGAGAAGGCAATATACAAAGTTATAAGGCATCTTTTGTAAAGCTGAAAACCGTCCTGACGCCGCGAGTCGGTCCAATAGCTTTCAGGTATGATGATGCTAAAATTCTTTAATGCCCGTTTTCACCATCAATCCCTAATTTTCAAGTGACCCCTATGAAAACACAATTCCTGTTGTGTTACTATAGGGGTCACTTAAAAATTAGGGTTTGGTGGTGAAAACGGGCATAAGTCAATTAACATTTCCGTTCTTCTAATATAAATAACTGTTTTGTAAATCTTTGTAATTTGCCTTCTCCCAAGTTCTCTCAATTCACATGATGAAAAACATGGCTAGAGTCCTGAAATAATTGTTGAAAAACCCTCACTCGTTCACTTTATTCTGAGCTTTATTTACATACACAATGTATACATTTCTGACCAACAGTAACTACATGACAGATTTATTCCGCAGGTATTTGTGAAGCTGATGCGCCGATACAAATACCTGGAGAAGATGTTCGAAGAAGAAATGAAGAAGGTAATTAAAATTTTCATATTTTTCATTACATATTTATTCGTAAGTAAAACAAGCTTGAGGGCCAAAGCACACTGCGGCTTCGCTGCGTCGTCTTACATAGACATATCAGTGGCGGCGTCGCGACACATCGTGTGCTTTGGCTCTAAATAGTCTAAACAACCCATAATGTAGAAAGATATTCTGACACCCGAGCCATCACAGAATGTAAAGTAATGTAATAAATATGTTAAACAGTGAGGATGGCAGAAAACATTATTTTTTACATTTGCACATTATAATACCTATCTATTTTTAGACTTGAAGAGGCCTCTTGTAGATTCACATGTCATGTTTACATACTATTTTCTATCATGACGTGACATTTTTTTCTACCATAAAATGAGACTAAATGATGATAATAATGAATATTTGTTTGCAATTTGCAGGTGCTCGTATATCTGAAAGGTTTCGAGCCGCAGCAGCGCATCAAGCTAGCTCGAATGACTGCCCTATGGATCGGTATGTATTACAAGTACATAAAGTATTCATTTATTTGTCCATTTACTAGTCCATTTCTCATTTAACTGCCTTGAAAATCCCTACATACTTATAAAGAATTTGAATTAGGGATTTGGTCATTGCTAGTTTATTCATAGAATTAATTAACCAACGAGAATTGGCCACTAAAAGCAATAGCTATTCTAAGAATTGGTCCATTATAATCATTTGTTGATATTGAAAATTAGGTAGGAATTTGCTCGAACAGACGACAGCACATCACAGTATAAATTGTTGTTCGAAAACCGCTCGTAAGATGCCACAGCGTTTAGTTTGATGCCGTCTTCCGTACAAAATGCAGATTCATAAGATGAATCCAAGACAGTATAATTTAAGCTACTTTACAAATGAGCACATAAAGTTCAGTCGCGATGCTTTGACTTAACGGTTGGTGTAAGTAACGGTACCACGCGGACACTCGATCGCTATTTTTTGCGCAGTTTCATGTAGGTCAATACAAAAAGTTGTATTACATTATTTTGGTGTATGAAAACTGCCAAATTATATTCGTCTCATCTTGCTTTTAAAGTTTATTTGAATGTTAAATTAGAAGAAATTAAAACTATTTTGGGTAATAAATGAAAAGGGATGAATTTGGATAAAAACTACTTATTGAGGAATGTTCGAAAAAGTACGCCATTACCAATGGAGCAGCTGACTGAATTATTAATGATCTCATAACTATAAATAAATTTTGAATTTTGAATATTAAAGCTAATTTTAGAACACTAATTGAACACAAAAATATTTAATACACGTTTCTTTATGCTTAGGTCATCTTAGATAACCCATAAATGATTCCAGACAAATTTAACACCTTCGCTGCCAGCCTAAAAATGGCACTGTTCCGTTCGGGCCATGGGGGACAATGATGGGCGACACTTTAACTTTCCGTTCGGGCCGCGTCGAACAGTGATGACCGCGAGTCAGACCTATGTTTAAACCTCTGTATTGAGCCGATGGACAGCATTTCTTCAATAATTCTTATATAAGCTGACCCGCGCGGCTCCCAAGATTAGTGTACGTCACTTGGTTCTCAGGTAAAGCTCGGACTTAGAAAAAAAAATGTGGATAACGGTAGCGGAATGAAACATGGTAATTANTCTGCATGAAAAATGTGACAACGCTCTTAATTTGAAAGAACGATAAAAATAGAAGGTGTACAATATAATGCTTCAACTACACCAACGCGTGCAGATCGCCATCGCCGGCGCGATCATAGGGAAATGACAGGTCGCGTGAACTGTCATGGGTCGCGCGACCTGTCATTGGCCTTTGATCGCGCCGGCGCGATGGCGATCTGCACGCGTTGGTGTGGTTGAAGCATAAAGCAGGGTACTCATCTAGCCGTGTAGCATGTAATGTATCAGATACTGTATCAAGTGAGTACATAGGCGCGAGCAGCAGGCTCGTGCCTATGCATCGAGATCGCAGCGACCCGCCGAGTGGCGGTATCACTGCGAGCACAAAGGCGGCTCGCAGTAGGATTCAGGAGCTCGCAGCCAGATACGCGATGATCGTGGACGAGCCGTACTCACTTGAAGGTCGGTTACGTTACATGCTACATGGCAGGTGAGTACCCTGCCTAAGGAAGGACATAATGAATCTAGAGCAGGGATGTTATGGATATCCGTAACCGTAACTGAAACTTTCGGATAAGCGAAATAAAAAAAATATCCGAAACCGTAACCGTAACCGATTCAAAAGTTTCGGATAGTTTCGGATGTAGGCAGTTTAAATTGTTTTTTGTATAGCAATATATGCAAGGGCATAAAAGCCTGATTTACCTATAATAACGCCATCAAGTATCATTTTTATTTTTTTATTACTTTTTATTCGATGTAAAGTGTGCGGCCATGAATGAACCGTGTTGGACAACTATTAAAAATTGCATTTTAAAGCGCAGATATCCGTAACCGTAACCGAAACTTTCGGATATCCGAAATAAAAAAATATCCGTAACCGAAACCGGTATAATATTATTCCTATATCCGTAACAGTATCCATAACCGAAACTACATATCTACAGGGTGTTAGGTAAATGGGTATATGAGCCGACACTAGCCCATGTTAACATCCCAACTAATATTATAAATGCGAAAGTAACTCTGTCTGTCTGTCTGTCTGTCTGTCTGTCTGTCTGTGATAGTAGCGCCTTCCTGACAATGCCATAGCTGGGACGGCTCAGTTTTGGACAACTTTTATACGAATTATTGATAAATTCAATTTTTTAAATAAAATTTAAACCTTTTTTAATTAAAACAATTTGAAAAAAATCACTTTTAGCGTTCCTTTTACGGTATCATCGATTTATTTATTATTATTTTTAATCACTATTTAAGACTTATCCTGCTAGTTTCGTTTCTCATTTTATACCTTATAATATTCCTATTTATGCGTAATATAATATATCAAAAACCTACCAATGTACAACTCTTTATTTTTTTGGTTGTTCTCCTTTTTTTTTTGGATGCGAGCGGGGATGGTCGACAACATGACCGCGTGGCCCTACGGAACGGATTTTCGAATTTTCGCTCGCTGGGGCCATGGGGGTCAATGATGTCCGACGCTTAATAATTCGATGTAGAAACTCAAAAACAATTATATGTTAATAAAATCCTTTATTTATGTTTATAATGTAACGATTTAACAAAAAAAAAACAATCGACGAAAATTGAAAAAAATTGAAATTTTTACTTGGCCTGGTAGGAAAGTGCAGTGTCGGACAACATTGACCGCGTTGGCGTTCAATGTGTTAATGATGTTTCGGTATAACTTTGCACACGATTAGAGCCAGGCTGCGCTCTTTGCGCTTTCTGGTGTCGAAGTGATGCTATAGTGACGCATGAACTACTTCGATCTTACTCTGTAGTTTGCTCGATAATGTTAGTGCTACATCTATTTAATTAGTAAAAAAAAATGACTGCTGCCAACTTGAGAACTAATTAATAAAACTTTTTGCTGTTAATTGGAGTATATCACTAGTACACCCACCAATCAATGACAGATTAACTAGACTAGCCCTTTGAGGCAAAATTGATAAAAGTCAGTCGGTAGGATACGACTTTGTAGTCAGAAGTTGCAGCAGTAAGAATAGCTACTGAAGTAACGCTAGGGTTTTTATTGGCGCACAAGTGTAAATCCTGGACACACAGGAGTTGTATTGTGGTGGGAATAGTTCCTGTAGTAACGCCCGCATGCGTCATTACTAATCGGCTGCATTGTTAGGAGTTGTAACGGGAATAGTCTTCTAACTCTGGACCGCAACAGTTATGTAGCCAGGAGGTGCAGCATTGAAAATAGTCCATGTCCTAACCCTAGTATCACTTGTGGATAGGTAACGGCTGCGGCGTAGCCGGGAGTTTAGTCCATGTCCTAACCCTAGTGTGGATAGGTGACATGTCCTAACTCTAGTGCCACCATGTCCTAACTCTAGACCACCATGTACTAACTCTAGTACCACCATGTCCTAACTCTAGTACCACCATGTCCTAACTCTAGCACCACCATGTCCTAACTCTAGCACCACCATGTCCTAACTCTAGTACCACCATGTCCTAACTCTAGAGCACCATGTCCTAACTCTAGTACCACCATGTCCTAACTCCAGTACCACCATGTCCTACCTCTAGTACCACCATGTCCCCACTCTAGTACCACCATGTCCTAACTGTAGTACGTTCCACAGGTAACGGCTGCGTGCCGCCGGGCGTGCTGCTGGTGCTGGTGAACGAGCACTTGCTGAAGGACAACTTGGCTCTTGACTTCGTGCTGGAGGTATTCGCCACCGTCAAGGCGGAGCGCGGCGTGGCGTCCCTCGTCACCGCGCTCAAGAAGGGCCAGCTGGAGGGCAGGTGACTATCATTAGAAAACTATTTGTCATAGTCATAAATGTTTATTGCATCATGTTGGTACGGACGACGGCACATCAACGTAACCACTGTGGGTTCTTGTGCAGTTGTAATAGGGGCGAGTTTGCAACAAAAATGGGTAACCTGATGTGCTGTCGTGTGTACATTTGGATCTTAAATAATAATACAGAGTCCCGAAACATGGCCCTGTATCTAAGGGCATTGCAACATTGTAGGTACTAGTTATTATACATAAAAATATTTAAATCTAAATTATCAAAATAACAATTTTACAGACAATTGCTGGCTAGAGTGAATAGGTATTTGCGAGATCGAATCAGAAATGATCAACATGGAATTGGAAAGCATTGGAGGAGACCTATGTTCAGCAGTGGACGTCCTATGGCTGAAACGATGATGATGATGAATCAGAAATGAGGAGATCCGTAAACGAACTAAAGTCGCTGACTTAACCCGACGGATTAGGGCACATAGTACGCAGAACTGACTGAAAGTTCTGGAAAGGAGGCCGCGTACCGGGAAACGCAGCGTGAGACGTCCACCTTCAAGGTAGCGGTATCGTAAAGGTAGCGGGGAAGCGCTGGACGCAGGCCGCTACCAATCGATCAACATGGAAAGCATTGGGGGAGGCCTATGTTCAGCAGTGGACGTCCTATGGCTGAAATGATGATGATGATGGTACCAGTACACGGTCTTCTCATCCATCATAATCAAAGAACGTTTTTCTGTGTCCACTAACGTGTTTTCTACGGCCCATACTTCAAAACAAACATTATTAGTCTATTCTTCTTTTACATATTACACTATTTATCTAATCCGTTGGCGCAAACTGACGCAAATCGTGACGAAGTCATAGAAGGTCATCACGTCTTCATTGTTTGTTTACTTGCACGTCTATTATTATTAGATGTTATTCTAATTGTTATTTTTGAGCAACTCATTTATTAATAAATAAAGTATACATCACTGTGGTAAAAGTATGTCCCTTTACGTGTAGTTACGTCGTTTCTCTTCATAGAAACTCGTGTTAATGTAAAGGGCAGAGCAACGCGTCACTGTACTGGCTCGTCGTATTTATTGCGATGCTGTCATTAGTGCTGCTACAATCACTTATCAGATGGTTTTATGATCTCTTCAGGCGTATATCGATATTGCGAGGCTACTCGCATCAAATGAGCTAAGCTAACTTGTAATACAATGCAATGTCGATATGCCTTTAGAGTTTTGTCAGTCACCATTTTACCACAAAATCTACAGGTTTTTGAATCTTATGTTGATTGGTGATTAATTTTAGGATATAATAAAGAAGCCTTTTTACTCGTATTTTATTTTTTCAGTTTTTCCTTGTAGTTTGAAGGCCTATTTGTTTTCGTGTAGGTGGTGCATATTTAAATTCAAATTCTCTATTGCTGTTACATTACAAATAGTGGTGTTATAAATAAAGATACAGGTGTACATGTGCTTTTTGTCTCATTACTAAAGCTATAGATCGTTTTATCCAAGAAGACGCGCCCTACCATTCTTCGTTAATGTTTGAGTATTATTAGTACACGCTACATTTTATCCATGAGTGCACATGCACACTACAATAATGACTCGGCTCGGATTGCTCGTATCAGACTCCCCGCACCCCGCGTTTCCCTCGACCAAAAATTGGGTGGGCGCGTCTTCGTGGATGAAACGATCTAGTATATGCCATAATCTGTATGTCATTCTATCCCAGATCTTTGGGCCAAGTAGACGTTACAATAATACCTATTGGGCAAGTAGTTAACGAGTGAATGTCCGCAGGCTGCTGGAGTTCCTGCCTTTGAACCGTCGCAGCGAGGACGTGCTGGCGGCATCCTTCGAGTCGCGCGGCCTGGCCGAGCTGCTGCGCCTGCACCGCGCGCAGGCCTCGCAGGTACGCACCACCCTAGCTAGACAACCTTGACATCGCCACCAGGTGGCACAACACTGGTGTCACAAAAAAAAATTGCAAGGCTAAAAGGTAGCCTTTCGAAGCGAGTTAGTGACCCCGCGTTGGTGGCACAAGACCAAAGCTAAAGACGCTGCGTCTGTGAGGCTGGTTTTAGTGTCACGCGGACCGTCCGGTGCGGACCCGCTCCGCACGGCCAATCTGTATGAACTTCTAGGGAGCGTTTTAGAGTAATGCGGTCCGGAGGAACCCCTCCGCTCTCTAACAGTTCATACAGATCGGCTGAGCAGAGCGATCCGCACCGGACGGTCCGCATGACACTAAAACCAGCCTGACGCTTAGTTCGAAAGGCTATATTAAGAACTCACCGCGCGATTTGTGAGACGGGAGGACACTTCCCGTCTCTTGTGTCACAGACCCTTTTTTTCGCCGGGAAATGCTTTGCACATAACCCCTGGTAGATGGGGACGATTAGTGGGTTATGTGGGAGGCAGGGTGTGGCGTACCCACTAAAACGCGATGCGTCCTCCCGGGCCATTGAAACAGTCGCAAGCTATTGTCCTAAAAATGGACATTCGTCCGCGGCACCGTCTCAGGTCATACAGATGTAACAGACATTTACTAATAGCACTAAAACCTCCACGTTGTCCCTTACTACATTAGTCAAGTAGGATTTCAAATGATGAAACTTGATGACGAGTCGTAATGGGGCGCCGCAGCGAGCCGGGCCCGCCGTGGCCGAGTCTTTCGGCCTACGCGGCGCTCGGCTGGCAACGCGGCGCTCCGCATGTCGACATGGCAATCTGATTCTAGCACGATTACGGGAGCGACTGCAGTTACGAATGTTAAATTGATTTTTCTGTTCATACAAACGCGACGAAAAGGACGTTGAAACTAACGTAACCCTCTAGGCCCAGTTTCCATCAAAGCGAAGCGGAGAAGTGTTTTGTTGAATAAGCAATGCATTCATTATTTCCACTTCTCCGCTACGTGGCGCTGCTGTCAATTCTATAAAAAAATTGACGGTCCGACACTCCGCTCCGTTCCGCTTTGGTGGAAACCGGGCCTTAGTCCACCTAGCTTCTATTTTTGTCAGCGGTCAATAATGACTCTATTTTGAGACCGCATACCGCAATATTATTCAATAATGCTTCAACCACACCAACGCGTGCAGATCGCCATCGGTAGCGCGATCACGGCGCGATTATATTTTTTTTATTTGTGTTGAGCGGCTATTCTAGTTCAATAAAGTCCTAGTATCACTGCGACCGTTATCGATCTATTGTGATCGCCGCTGTTTTCCTTACAGTTCGCCTCCGAGTCCTGCATCCATTAGGAAGTGCAGTATCTTTTGGGGGGCGATATGTTTTACATCTTGTGGGCTTAGGATGTGTTTGCCCAGGTGTAAGCTCCGCTTGCGCATCAGAGGTCCGCAGTCCGTGAGCATGTGTAGTGGCGTTTCATCTGCCTCTTGGCACATCCTGCACGTTCTTGTTTCGGACAGTCCCATAGTGGACAAGTGCTTGTTTAAGCTGCAGTGTCTTGTTTAAGCTGCAATGACACCTGTCATTGGCATATGATTGCGCCGGCGATGGCAATCTGCACGCGTTGGTGTGGTTGAAGCTTAAAAGATATGGAAGCTTTAAATGTTCGTCGCATCACTTAAAGCCCGGTCTGTGAGCACGTAGAATTTTGTCCAGTGACCCCAAGCTACCCATCCTTATCGCTCGCGCGTAATTATATTGCTGTCGCGACAGTGCGACGGACGCCCGCAGTGAGTGTGCGAGCGCGACAGCAACATAATTACGCGCGAGCGATAAGGATGGGTAGCTTGGGGTCACTGGACAAAATTCTACGTGCTCACGGATCAGGCTTTATTTAAATAAAGCTTTGAAGATGTATACAGGGTGTCTCTAAGTATAGATCAAACAAAAATAATAGATTCTATGGCTCAAATGCAACAACTTTCCCCAAGAGAAGAAAGTTCAAATCTTCCGAAAAGAACCTTTTCTTTCATACAAATTGTCTTTAGTAATCATCAATTTTTTTAATTTCATTTTTTATTATATTCCTATTGTTCCTGAAGGAAAGTTGTTGCATTTGCGTAGTAGAATCAATTCTTTTTTTATCCATACTTACACGGATACCCTGTATTGTCACATCGCGTAGCGTCTTGTCACGATTTGAACTGCAGTCGCCCCCGAAATCTTGCCTACTACAAACAACTAGTGACATCTCACACACCGCCAGCATCTATAACGTACAATAAACCTGTGGTTGCCCACAGGAGGCGCGGCGGGAGCTGACGCAGGCGCTGCTGGACGAGCTGGCGGACGAGAAACCGGTGCGCGACCTCATCCAGGAACTGCGCGACATGGCGCTCAAGCACCACATACCCGAGCACGAGGTCGTCGCCATCGTGAGTACACACTATCATCATCTAAATATATAAAACTCAAAGGCGACTGACTGACTGACATAGTGATCTATCAACTCACAGCCCAAACCACTGGACTGATCGGGCTGAAATTTGGCATGCAGGTAGATGTTATGACGTAGGCATCCGCTAAGAAAGGATTTTACGAAACTCCTCCTCTAAGGGAGTCAAACGGGATCCACGCGTACGAAGTCGCGGGCGGCCGCTAGTTACAGCCATAAAACACAGTGCCGGTTTTAGTACTACCAGCGCCCTGGGCGAGATTTCTACGGCGCCCCCTAACTGCAATTCAAACCCATACGAAAAAAGGCGAAGGATAATAATGAAATAACCATTTATGAAAAGAAATAAACATTTATTAAAAAAACTAATAAAATTTTACTTTTCTAGCCTTTCTATCGGCGAACTCTTTTATTAAGTTATCAAAGTCGATGTTTTCAGCAATTTCATTTTCGATTAACAAAGTTGCCAAGTTTGTCAATCTAGATTGAGATATTGTCGATCGCAGATAGGTTTTTATCAGCTTGAGCTTAGAAAAACTCCTCTCTCCACTAGCAACCGTTACGGGAATAGTTAATAATATTCGTAATGCTATCCAAACATTTGGATATAGTTCTTGTAAGTTGCGGTCTTTGATAAAATTTAAAACAAAAACAGGAGTAACCACTTTCTGATCAGGCAAAAACGATTTCAGACTTACGAGTTCATCGCACAACATACATCCATCTATATCTGATTTGGAATTTACATTTAATTTCAATTGAAGATCACTACAGAGTTTGATAAGGTCGTGTTTTTCTGGAATCTGTTTTAAATTGTACAAAAAAGACCAAGATTCCGAGTACTCACATAACTGTTCAAATCTTTCGTTGAGTGAAGTTAACGTCGTGTCCAAAAGACAGTTGAAAAATTCAACCTCAAATTTTTTTTCTGGAGAAGTTATAGGCTCATCTTGGGCAGTTTCACCAGCTTGGCGCTTAACACGTCGAATTCTTGTTGTCGCTCTAAACACAGGTTCTATTTCTAACTCTTCAGCCAATTCCTTCGCAGTTGAAATGGCGCTTTTAAAGCCTGTATTTCTATATTCTTCCAAGAAATTGCAGCATTTTTTCAACATGTCTGTGCATTTACCGAGATCCATGTCTGTTGATTGTAGAGATTTACTAACGACATTAATTTGAAAAAGTATGTCATACCAGACAACCAATGAAACTATGAAGCCGAAATCTTTTAGCTGTTCGGCTAGAGTAGTAGCCTCATGAGAGACTTGAACATCAGTTTTCTGAGTTTCAATAGCCAAAGTGATTAAAGCGTCATGGACGGCGCTAATTTGATAACGGACTGCTTTAACACTGCCAATTCTTGCTTCCCAACGCGTGTCACTGAGTTTTTTTATAGTGTACAATCCCAAGTGATCGGTCAGAATTTTCCATCGATGAACAGAAGCTGAAAACAACGTAAACAACCTCTGAAGTACTCCAAACAAAGTGACAGATTTTACAGATGACTTAGCGGCATCGCATAGTACGAGATTGTAGCTATGACAGCCACACGGTACATATACAGCTAAAGGATTTATGTCCAGAATTCTCCTTTGAACTCCAATATTTTTTCCTTTCATATTTGCTCCGTTGTCATAGCCCTGACCTCTACAATCGTTCAATTCCAGTCCGTATTTATTTAAAATATCAATAATAACTTCAGTCAGCCTTTCACCAGTCGACTCATTAACAGGTATAAATTCTATGAAATGCTCTTTTACTGATATTTTATCGACATCTGATGATAAATCAACAAATCGTATTGTCAGTGAAAGCTGTTCTATATGACTAATGTCCGGAGTACAGTCAGCTATAATAGAATAATATTTCGATTTCTTTGCACGTGATATGATTTCTGACTTCACTTTTTCACCCATCAGCTCTATTAATTCATTTTGAATGTCTTTTCCGCAGTAGTGGTCAGAAACATCACCCTTTACAGCTAATCGCAAGTGCTCCTCCATAACTGGATCAAATTTGGCTAGTAGTTGTACTAAACCCAAGAACTTTCCATTATTTGGCGTATATAGTTTGTCGGAAGTACCTCTAAACGCCATATTGTTTTCAGCTAAATACAGTGTAATATGCATTAATCTAGACAAAATATTATTCCACCTTGTAGTTTCCTTTCTAATCAAATGTTGCTCTTGACAATCTATTGTTTTTCCCGTTTTTAATCTTAGTTCAGCCTCAATCCATGAGAGGTAAAACTTCTTATGAAAAGTGCTACTTTCATGAACTTTTAACATTTCTGATAAGTGTTTCCAGTCGTTATATCCTTCAGATACTAAATTCGACGTTGAGCTGCTATCAAATAGCCGGCAACAAAAACAGTAAACTCGATTTTTAGAAACTGAGTATATTAACCAACGACGCTGAATTATTTCATTGTTTGCAAGTTTTTTGGTAAAATGAGAATTTGAGAAATGTCGCCCTGTATCATTCTTTGGATAATTATCAATGTGAGTTTGCACTGGGCCATTAGTTATTATATGATCAATAATTTTGCTATTTCGAGTGAGTGGCCAAGTGGCTGGATCCGATATATTTGGAACAAGAGAACTAACGTCATCTAGAATTTGTATTTGTTGTACATCACCAATAGTGTCATCCTGAGCAGCATCTGTAATTGTAACACAACTTGTCTCCTCACTTCGGGAAACTTCGTCCACAATCTCTTCAACAGCTAACTGATCTGACTTGTCAGACAGAGACTCCACTACCGATGCATTCGCTTGTATTTCAGATGATGTAGATGCCACATTAAGGTCTTGATTTTTTGTTGTGATAATATATTTGCCTATATTCATAAACTTTTTTGTTTTTTCAAATTCCTTTTCTTTTTCTGCTTTTCGTTTTCTATATTTTGACCCAGATGGTTTGCTTTTGAAAGGATCAACGTGTTCAGACATTTTGTACTAATCAAATCTGCAACAAATTAAATCTGCGTAAGTCCGATCATTTCTATAAATTAATTAAATATAACGCTATTGAGTGAGGACGACCAAAAACGCTTTATATTCAGGAAAGCGTTAGCATACACGTGAACTACGATCGAAAAATCTAGGTAAGGTAATATTGTCACGGCAGCGGAATAATTGTGAAATGTTATTTTTAAAAGCTTGTGTTACGTGATAGTGCTTAGATTTGTATGAAAAAAATCACGATCATCCACTCGTTCCCGAAAAAATGACTTCTATGTACAGTCAGATGCAAAAGTCGGTGGACACTTTTCACCTTTAACACAAAGGCTTACGAATGAACAGTGTTCATCCACTTTTACACTTGACCGTACCTCCTCGACATTCATTTATAGATGATATCCGTGTTAAAATTTCATCAACATTATATAGTCAGTTCCAGAGATATTTTATAATATATAATTTACTTTAAATAGATTACCCCACTCCAAACATAACATAAACAAACAAAAAATGTTACCTCTTTAGTATAATAAGTAAAGATAGTTAAAATAAAATTGTACTTACCTAATTAGTGAAATAATCCGTCATAAAGCAAATACCTACTTAAACACTATTTGTATTTCAACTTTTTGGATAAAACCTATGTCACTCTGTAGTCGGCGACAAAAAGAAAAAAACATGCACTTCGTAACTTAGCGTGGACCGCCAGATTACTGCGTCTGTTTGTTTTAAAATATGTAGGTAATTGCGATAACTGTTTTTAAGTGCGTGCACCGATTGAATGAATAAGAATGAGCTGTGTTCCGCTCCATCAAAAATAACGCCAACTCTTTTGAACTAAAATGTTAAAAAGAGATAGATAATGTGTTTCTCTGTGGTCGGGGATTCCCAGTAAAATAAACTGTATGTAGGGTAATTGAGCCGGTTTTCCGTCCAGCTCCTGTTTTCGTCCATTTGACCGACTTGCCACAAACAAATACGGAAAATTAGAATACAAACCTAACTTTCCGTGCAAGTTTGGACTTGTTACAATCTATAATATCTAAGTAACAGTTCTGCCTGCATGAAAATGTAATTTGANCGGTACTGCATTGAATAACGCTAGAATTTCATCACCATCAGGTAATTTTAGTTACCACTGCAGGTAATTTTAGTTACACAACCCTCTCTAATTTACCAGAGGCAAATGGAGGATATAGGCCTTCCTTCGCCACGCTGGCTAGACGGGTTGGGGAGGAAATTGGGGAAGTGCGTTAATAACTGACTCAAAACGAGGTTTAACTATGACAATATCCTTATTAATTCGCTTTGTAATCAAAATATTTAGAAACAATGTAGTACAGGGTCTATAGTTCGCCTTAATTTAAAATATATGTAAGTATAGCTTGAATAGGTGAAGTTGATCTCGTAACCCAAAAATCCACGCTCACGACTCTGTAAAGGCACGACTACACAGTCGTACTTAACCCGGGTCATCTGTCCTTACCTTAAACGGTAAACAATTTCACGGGCAGTGGTTCAATTTAATTGGGGATTATCTTTTTTCCGGGCCGGCTCCGGGCGAACCGTCGTCAAACGGCGATCCGGCGGTGCAACGACATTTGCCATTAATAAAACGCAGGCTGTGATAAAGGATCTAGATCCCAAATGAAGTGGCGAAAGGATTTTTTCCCTTTTCAATAGACCCGAATAGTACTGGACAGCTTTTGTATTTTTGTGTCACAATAAATTGCAATTTTTAAAGTATTAGGTACTTTCATTGTAATCCATCTAGTTTTAAAAGTTATAGCCCATAAATTACATCCTATTATGATACTTTTATAATGCTACGCTACTGAAAGAAACTTAGCTGTTGATGTACTGAGGTCTACTTACCTACTTTACAATGGCACCTAATACGCGTCTATTTCCTCCTGTTATTTAATTTTAGAAAGGTCTGATCCTGAAAAGAAATTATTAATCCTACCTAAACAAACGTTAGAATTAAATTTAAAACTAGTTTCAGCTTTTCTCAAAGCATTTCAAATAGTTGTCATTAATCATGAAAGTG